CTCGTCTTAAAACTATATGTGGTTCCTGTGTGTGTGTGTGTGTGTGTGTGTGTGCTCACCTATTTGTACTTACCTATTTGTGATTACAGGGGTCGATTCACACTTCCTGGCCCGCTTCTTTGCTGACTGCTACTAGATCCACTCTCTCCCTGCTCCAAGAGCTTCGTCGTACCTCTTCATAAGGCATATGTGTGTGCGTGCGTGCGTGTGTGTGTGTGTGTGTGTGTGTGTGTGTGTGTGTGTGTGTGTGTGTGTGTGTCTATCTGTTTTCATTCAATAGTCTTAAAACTCGTGTAAATCACTCTGTACCGGGAAGGCTACCGTGTACCTCCTGCACACCTCCGGGGTCCCAGGTTCGATACCTGGCGATGGCAGAAAAGGCGGGATATTGAGAGTCATGTATTTCGACCCTCAAGGTCAACTCAGACACGTTCGGATACAACACCCGGCAGGTTACGGTAAGAAAAAACTACAATAATGTACCTGAATTTATCTTGTAAATCTCTGACAGGGTGATATTTGCGTCTCCACTTTGTGTTGATAGAGAAGAAAAAGGCACAACAGCCTGACTGGAACAATACGCAAATAACCCGCACATAGGAGAAACAATCTTATGACGACGTTTCGATCCGACTTGATCCATATAGTCGTTATAAGCTTCTTTCTGTTGTAGAAAATTCTTGTAGAAATTCGTTTTAGCTTATTTTGTAGACTTGCTTGATTAAACCAATCAGGATAACCTAGAGCCTTGAATTGTTTAGTGTTTTATTTTCTTGGTGCAAATTAACTGACTTAGATTATCAAGTCGGGCTAACGGGTTTTCCCTGAATTCGTTCCAACAGCACATCATGTCACGAAAACCACTTGTCTCCACTCCTATCTCTCTGACTCACACTCCAACAGCACGTCAAGTCACAGAACCCACTTGCTTCCATTCACTCCCATCACTCACACATGCTTGCTGGATGTCAAAGCCCCTCGCATACGATTCCTCTTATTCTCCAATAATTGCAATTTTTCCCACGACGACCACTTCTCTCCAGTACAGATTTATACACCCTTCAAGTCATCCTATTTTGCTTCACCCTCTCTGGATATCCAAACCACCTCAGTAACCCATCCTCAGTTCTCTGGATAATATTTTAGTAACTCTGTACCTCCTAATCTCCAAATTGTGAATTCTTTGTTAAATATTCACAACATATATTGCCCTCAGACACAACAATTCTTCTGCTTCCAGCCTCCATCTCGCCAACACACATTCACTTTTGCAACATAATCTATGTGTTAAACAACCATAGTGACATCAGTCATCCTTGTCAAAGGCCTACTATTTCCGGAAAATAATTTCCAGCTCTCCATTAATACCTCAGCCATTAATACCCGAGCCATTAACACCCGTCTCGCTATCCTCTTAAAAACCCTTAACACTTGCAACATCTGCCACATTACTTTCCTATGCACCCTATCATATTATTTTTCTAAATACATAAATGGAACTAAAACTGTAAACTAATAAGCTTCAATGTAAACACTTGGTCTACACATTCCCTACCCTCCTTAAAACCTTCTCCATTTATGATCCTGCTCTCTGTCTTATCCTTAATTCTTTCAATAACGTTACCATACAATTTACTTCATATACTCATATATATATATATATATATATATATATATATATAATAATATATATATTATATATATATATATATATATAATGTGCGTGTGTATATAACTAAATAAAATTGTTCGTGTTAGTTGAATCAATGGGAAAATCTTCGTGTGTGTCAAGGCACAAATATAGGGCGGGAGAGTTCACTTTCTAGGCGAGGGCGTTGGTTAACAGGTCGGGTGTGGGCAAGTGGGCTTGTTCATCTGGGTGTGGGGCACTGGGTATGGGTGTGTGGTCTGGTGTGGGGATCTGCGTATGGAGGGAGAGAGTTGGTGATGTATGGGGGGGGGGAAGGTGTGTGGAGTACAAGATATAAAGGTGGAAGTTGGGTGTCAGATGTGTGGGTGGAGTTGAGAGGACTGACTGGATGGGTGGGCTAGTCTGGAGGGTATTGGGTATGTAGGTGAGCGTTGGGTGGGCGAATGTGGTAGACTTGGGTAGACATGGGTGGGTGGGGGGGATGCAGAGCAAGGCATATGGGCGGGCGTAAGGTGACTTGTGTAGGAGTGTGGGTGTGGTTGTGATTTTGGGTGTGGGGATGGTGGTGGTGGGTATGGGAGTGGGTGTTGGTGTGGGGGTGGGTGTGGGTGTGGAGTACCGGGTGACTTAGCGGGTCTCAGGAACCGGGTGTTGCAGTTGGCCGTAGCAAACCGGTTTTTTCTATATTTCTTGCTTAAATTGAGTGTCGCTATAGATTGTTTTTGTTATATCACGTATGTTTGTATAATAATAATCTTTATTTCTGCAAGTACAAGTACAAGTACAAGATATACAGTCCTAGCTGACATCAGTGACATACTACTATACATTTCGGGCAAATTAGGTCAGTTTTCTCCCCAGGGTGCGACCTACACCAGTTGACTAACACCCAGGTACCTATTTTACAAATAGGTGGAAAGCAGGTGTTTTAAGGAAACACGTCCTAATGTTTCCACCTGTACCAGGGATCAAACCCCGGAATTCATTGTGAGAGCTGAGTGCGCTCCCTTATATATAATATATATATATATATATATATATATATATAATATATAATATATATATATTGCTTCCAATGAGACACTTGGGCAACATATGGGTGCCTTTATTCTGGAAACGTTTAGCAATCACCGTCATTTATCAACTTGGCATTTTTTCTAAACCGTTTATTCAAAATCATAATACTAGTCCAGTGTCGTTAGCATCCCTGGTGCTCTCAATCCCTGGTGCTCTCAATCCCTGGTGCTCTCAATCCCTGGTGCTCTCAATCCCTGGTGCTCTCAATCCCTGGTGCTCTCAATCCCTGGTGCTCTCAATCCCTGGTGCTCTCAATCCCTGGTGCTCTCAATCCCTGGTGCTCTCAATCCCTGGTGCTCTCAATCCCTGGTGCTCTCAATCCATGGTGCTCTCAATCCCTGGTGCTCTCAATCCCTGGTGCTCTCAATCCATGGTGCTCTCAATCCATGGTGCTCTCAATCCCTGGTGCTCTCAATCCCTGGTGCTCTCAATCCATGGTGCTCTCAATCCATTGTGCTCTCAATCCCTGGTGCTCTCAATCCATGGTGCTCTCAATCCATGGTGCTCTCAATCCTAGCTGGAGTAATTCAGGACGAACTATCCTGGTGGTCGTTTTCTAGTAAATTCAGGTATAGGTAAGTTGAAAAGTATTCTTGGGTAATAGTTATGACTATAGGGTTATGGTTGTAGGGTTAATACCCTGGCTATATGGGGGTCAAGGTTACGAGTTTCAATATGGGGGTTAAAGTTTTAGTGTGGGGGGGGGGGAGTTAAGGTTGCAATTAACTACTTTTATTTAATCATCCAAAAATATGGTTCTATACACTACATATCAAAAATCCCTGGTACTCTACAGACTTTTTTTTTACTAGTCTATTAACTATCACAGGAATTAAGGCTTTATCATCCTCGCTAAACTGGAGATATTTGTTCTCACATCGAAACTTCAAATCACGTACTTCAGTATGTCTTCTGGGAAATGGTGGGCCCTGTGGCCCCTACAGACGAGCAACACGCTGCAGAAGCTTTGGTAGAACGTTGTTTTGTCCTTCCTCCTTTCACGATTAAAAAAAAAATCCCATGTAATAATTATTAACTGATGCAATGAGCATTTTAACTTCAGATGAAATAATGAATTGATTTAGTAGTAGCACGTGTGAACAGCTATAAGACTCGTTGAACATCAAAATGGTATAAAATACCGACAGGTTGGTAGGTAAGACACAAAGGCAACAGTTAGGCAACTTTATTCCGAAACGTTTCGCCTACACAGTAGGCTTCTTCAGTCGAATACAGAAAGTAGGCAGGAACAGTAGAGATGTGAAGACGATGTAATCAGTCCATCACCCTTGAAGTCGTAGAATTTGAGGTTGTCAGTCCCTCAGCCTGGAGAGTTCAGTTCCATAGTCAGATAGTTCCTGACTATGGAACTGAACTCTCCAGGCTGAGGGACTGACAACCTCAAATTCTACGACTTCAAGGGTGATGGACTGATTACATCGTCTTCCCATCTCTACTGTTCCTGCCTACTTTCTGTATTCGACTGAAGAAGCCTACTGTGTAGGCGAAACGTTTCGGAATAAAGTTGCCTAACTGTTGCCTTTGTGTCTTACCTACCAGCTATAAGACTCATTAGCATTCACACGAGAATCAGTCTTTACACTGACGAGTACACGAATAACATTTTGATCTTGGTGATTTGTACATTTTTATCATTCAATTCCCTGTTAGCAGGTATAACTCTTCTTTCGTTTTCAGATTATCATCTACGATCTTCGAGATGCTTGTCACATCTACCTTCTATTTTTATTTAAAATTTTCGGGATGAAATATGAATTCAAGGGAATAAAGACAATGGTAAAAGATAATCCTTTTAAAAGAATGTTTAGACTAGGTTGGAATTTATCAAATGTACAGGAATAAGGACGCACACTTAATTATAAGGTACATAGGTAACATGAGGTCAGGCTCGGAGAAAGATGACGTGCGAACGTTGCATAAAAGGATTTTCTCTTACTAGTGTCTTTATTTTCACCTAGTCGGCTTTTGCCTCTCAATTATGCTTCCTTCAAAATAATTTCTGAAATCATCACAATTTTCTTTCCAATTAGTTTCTAAGAGCTGGCGTTTTCGCTTTAATGTTGTTATCTGTTAAAGTTCACCTTCTTGCATTCTGAAGTATATGTAAACTTTTTTTTTAACGCCATGCGGGTTTCCATAACATTCGGAGCCCATTCAAAAATATTCTTTATTGCACTTCTCTCCAAGAAATCAACATGTATTCTCCCATCAGCACCTGGTTTCTAACAGCATGTTTTTATTCTTTCCTCAGCCCAAATCTTTTAAGTCGCTATGGACTCCCTGGTCACCGAAGTCAAGCCCATGAGAATCCCCCGACCCAAGTTCTGCTGCATGAAATCGTCGCTAGTGTACCCGGCAGAACCCCCAAAGGACTACCTCGATCTGGAAACAGAAATGAGCGACCTCAAGTCTCAAAAGACCGTCACTTCTAGCACGAAAGTAGAAGAGCTAGGGCGTGCACTAAAGGAGAAGGTTAAGGTCTAGGGATGAGATGGAGTCTCTTCACTTGTTCATAAAAAGGGGAAAGAAAAGCTGGTTCTAGGTGATGGTATCATGGTAAATCCACGTCCTTCTAGCAATGAATGACAATGGATAGGAAGAGGAACTCCTCAAGAAGTCTAGAGGTAATGACTGTTATATCAAGACCTAGAAAGATTACGCTAAATTCATCGAAGATAATATATTGCAGTAGATTCAGCGAGGCTCACGACTCTCGGGGGGGGGGGGGGTCAGAGATCCTGTGGGTAAGGGATCACAGGTCCTCATGAAGAGCATGATTCTGTGTCCTACTAAACTCAAGGACGATAACTGAAACAGGAAGTAGAAAGCAAGAGGATGAGGACAATTACTGGTGAATTTCCTGGTGTTTATTGGAGGACTTCGGGTCTGAACTTTAACCTGTGAAGTGTTGAAAACTAATAAGCAACACACGGTGAAAAGGTTAACTTTCAAAACTTCAAAAACGGCAATAAAAATCATTGTTTAGTTAGTAGAAGCGTAACGTAGATCATATGTAAAACATTGGCGTACGCCAAATGGGTAAGAAGTTTAATACTTAAGACGTCAGGCATAAAATGACGAATTTGCAGCTAAATTAATAACATAGATGAAAAAGTAATGACGTAGATGGCAGGTAGAGTAATGACAAGAGTCAGGCTGTATCTCTTAAAACTTATTGCATAATATTTCATGAACCTTGAACTTTGCGAGTGGAAGACGCTATAGCGCCCTTTCGCTATATTCACTGAGAAGCGCTACACCCGTTGGGATTATATGATGCCTGGCGAAAGGGAGGAACTAGATTTGACCCAAAGATGATAAAGCTCTTCCCATCCCACCTTGAAGGGAAGTGCGCACTCAGTTCTCATGCGCAGTGACGAGCGCAATATAACGTGGCTGCTCTGGGCTGTACATGAATACTGTAAGGTGAACGTGATCTAGTTTCTCTAGTATAGTGGCGGCTGGTCGTCAACTAGTTCACTGCCAGGAAAACATGGTATAGTAGACAATTATAATGACGTACACGCCCAGGTGAACATGATTTTATACACTGCCAGTTGAACATGATTCAGTACACTGCGAGCTTAGCATAATTCAGTACAATACCAGGTGAACATGATCTAACACAATGACTGCTAAGCATTATCTAGTTCATTGCCAGACGAACGAGATATAGCCCACTTCCCGCTAGAGATGACATGCAGCATCACTGCCCGCTACAGATGACATGCGATATCAATGCCTGATTAAGGCAGGGATCATTATATATAACCCGTATAGAAGGAACCTCGTCCATACATCTCTCCCAGCCCGGGAGTCGAGCCATTATGCTTCCAGTGGTTTATACGAGGTAGTATTACGTGCTGTTTATTGGTGTCAAATTCTCATTCACTTACAATGATTATGGTTAACTTTCTTCCCGCAACCCCAATAGCAAGAAAAGTTTGATAATGTGGTCAAACATTCTGAAGAGGCTTAAATTGACGGTTCATTTTCTTATATAAAAGTTATGTTTATTAAGGAATCAACTGTAACTTTCATAACCTTAGGTCGATTCAATTTAGTTTATTTCTTTGTAGATACAAATATTTCTCACAATGTATATTGAAACACTTCCACAATTTGCAATATCTACAATGTATATACATCTTGATTATTATATATATATTATATATTATATATATATATATATATATATATATATATATATATTATTATATAATAATATTTAATTTCACTGTGTTTGTTTGGTATTAAATTACTGTAAACAAATCCAAATATATTTAGTTGGGTTAAGCTAAAATAAATTGCGCTTGTATAATAAGGTTAGGTAAGTTTTCTAAGTTCCTTTTGGTGCAAAATTATAAATTTTTACATCAACATTAATGAAAAAAATATATCTTTAAACGTATAAGAGAAAATTTTAGAAAGGACTTAATTTTAAATGAGTTCTTGCTAATTGACCAGTTTTAACATATTCGGCACGACATATATATATATATATATATATATATATATATATATATATATATATATATATATATATTAAAATTAAAATATAGTTCATATGCATTATGAATTCATTATTTTTTCTGTATTTGCTTTTATTTTTATCTTCGCGTAGGATGATTGTAAATGTATATTTAATAGGAGTTTCTTTCCATTACTGTATATTATATTCCTTAGATTTAAGAGCTTCAGTTTGTAATATTACAAAAAGTACAAATCTTTTGCTGACTCTGGTACTAATTCTGGTTTAAACACTCGTGTACATTCTCCTTTTACAAGTGTATTTGTGTATGCATTTACAAGTGTATTTGTGTATGCATTTACAAGTGTATTATCAGTGAGTTTACGAAGGGATTACTCACCATGAGAGGCTATGTGCCTTGATGCCTGGGAAGGGCTCTTGATCTAAAGGAAATGGATCTTTTCTCCTTTTTCCATGGATCGAATCTGATTGCTTCCCTTTCCTCTGGAGCTGTGTGGCTCCTACGGATTTAGCGCCCCCCCCCCTCCACTCTAATGTAGTAATAATACACACGTATTTCCAAATGTATTCACAGATGTTTTTTTTACATTTCTGTTTTCACTGGATTAACAATGGGTTTGCAAATGTATTTACAAATGTCTTCAAAATTGTGCTTACGAAGGTATTTACAAATGAATTTACAAGTGAATTTACAAATATATTAACAAAATTTGAATGATTTACCCTTGGAGGTAAAAACAGTTATTGCGTTTGGAGAGACCGTTCAGATTATATCAATGGCAACAGATACCATTTATATGAATAGCAACAGAAGCCGTTTAGATTACATCACTGGCAACAGATACCTCTTGTATCATTGGCAATATATATCGTTCATATTATATCAGTGGCAACAGAGGCCGTTTATGTATCAATGGCGACAAAAGCCATTTATTTATGAATGAAAACAGAGGCTGTTTATATCAATGGCAGCATAGGCCATTTATATATCAGTGGCATCAAGAGGCCGTTTAGATTATATCAATGGCTAGAGGCCGTTTAAGTTAAATAAGTAACAACAGAGGCCACTAATGTTACATCAGAAGCAACACAGGCCTTTTAGATAACATCAATAGCATAAGATAAACTTGACACAGGAGTTGTGACTGATATGTGATGTCTTTTCACTTTCCCTTACAATTGCGTTGTAGAGATCTGTGCTCAGACCGCTACAACACAATTGTCATCAAAGATTTGTTTAGTTATACCATGAATTAAGGAGAGATCCTGGACTTACCTTACGAAACAAAACAAATTCGTTAGTAATTATGGACAGGATAGGATTATAGTGGAAAAATGAACATATTATTTAAGACGGGGGAACTTATGTGCCTCTGAAGGCTTCTGGGAAGAATCTTATGATCCCTGCGGGTTTAGCGCCACCTCGTGAATATAATAATCATTTTAGTTTGTCAGGAAACAAGACAAGTGTTTCCTGACGCGGGTCTTAGTCATATGATGACCCGCCGCTGGTGCTTTTGGTCATCTGATTGAGACCTTCCCTGGCTTACCTGTCCACCCCTTTAAAACTTAAGGTTATAATTATAACCACCAATGATTAGTATATTTATGAGTATGCCCTAAACCTGTAGGAGCAGAATATTGTCTGGAATTGGGAGGTAATTAGGTTTCCTCCATTTCCTTGAATCAAGAGACCTTCAGACTCAGGGATCTTCCCTGGGAGTGTTTTCATGATGCCAAACTTGATTTTTTTAAAGTTGTTGGTGTTAGCAGTGTGTTCACGAGACAATATAAATTATTCACACTATCTACCACCACCTCCACCTCTTCCTCCTCCTCTCCTCCCTTCCACCTCTCTTCTTCATCCACTTCTTGCCCCAGTTATTACTTCCCTAATATTATCCGTTCGTCTCCCCTATTTTCATTAATCCTCTTTTACCTACAGTTATTCTACTGTTTCTCCTTTCCCCTTATCTTTTTCCTCTCTATTCCCCATCATTTTCCTCTCTTCCTCCTCTCCTTTTTTACCTTCTCTCTCCCGTTTTTAGCTTCCTTTCTTCTTTTCTCTTTTTTCTTCTCATTTTCTTTCCTCTTATTTTAACCATTATTTTCCCCTCTTTATTCGTTCCCCTTCTTTTCCTCTTTCCTTGACGTTATCTTACGTATTTCCTTCATTCAGACCAACATCAGATATTCCATCCACGTTGTTTCGTGACCTGTTTGGTAATTTGTCACCTGTCATGTAGACTATTTTGTCAACTGTCAAGCAGACTGTTTGTCACTTGTCATGCAGACTAGTTTGTCACCTGTCATGCAGAATATTTTGTCACCTGTCAGGCAGACTATTATTTCTTTCCTTCCAATAACACAGGTAATGCTGACTGAGAGAGTTAATTGTTTGTAAAATCTGTTTTGTAACAGACATCTGTTTGTAGCAAGTTTCTGTTTCTAGCAGGTTTCTGTTTGTAACATATACCCGTTCGTAAAAGACACGTTTGTCACAGACATCTGTTTGTCACAGACATCTGTTTGTCACAGATATCTGTTTGTCACAGACATCTGTTTTGTCACAGACATCTGTTTTGACACACATCTGTTTGTATCAGGTTTCTGTTTGTGACGGGCATCTTATGACAGGAATCTGTTTGTGACAGGCATTAGTGACAAGCATCCATCTGTTTGTGACAGGAATCTGTGACAGTCCTCTCTCTCTCTGTGACAGACATGTACTTGTGACAGAATTCTGTGACAGTCCTCTCTCTGTAACAGACATGTACTGGTGACAGGCCTCTGTTTGCGCTACGTATCTGAAATGCCCACCTGTCTGCCTGTAACAGACATGGTAACTCACAGTAGTTTGTAATCTACAAGTTATTGAGAGTCATCGTTCCAGACATTTACATGGACCCTTTTATACGAAAAGTATTGAGAGTTTCCAGGGAAGTTCTCGACCTTCCTCTAAACTTCACCAAAGATGATTTAATAACATTTCTAAATTGGTAGGGACAATTTG